CCTTCCCTCTATTCCCCACCCCCCCCCGCCCCCCCGCCCCAGCTCGATTACCTGGAGCTTGTGTAACTGCAGAACGTAGCCTTGCACTAACAGCTGGAAGAAGAAGCGCAGTTGCCCGGGCCCTGGAAGCTCCTCCAGGGTCCGCAGTCTCCGGTCGCCAGGCCCGTTTCCAGGAGTCTCGGCGGTAACCGGGACGGCGGCGGGGATCGCGGTCTTGGCTCTGGCCCCGTGCGGGCAGAGGCCAGGGAGGGCCACCCGCGTCCCCAGCAGCGCCCACCGCAGCCTCGCGCCCCGCAGCGCAGCCAGGCGATCCATGGCCCGCGCCGCCGCGCCTTTGGACCTCGAGCGAAGAGCGCCTGGAACCCACTCCGAGATCTATCCGGAGGGGCGGGTTCAAGGGCGCCAAAGGCTAGGGGTGGGCCGGGCGAAGGCCGGCCAGGCCCCTTACCGCTCACTTTTCCTCGCGGTCCTCGGTCTCTCCCCGACGGGACCTCACGAACACACAGAAGCCACCTCCTCCAGCCGTAAGCCTGCGGCCCGGGGGGAGGCGCCGGCCAACACGACTGCAGAGGATGCACCCCGGGATTTACCGAGACCTCCAGAGCGCCGATCGCGGCCCCCTCTTCCGCGACTCCCCGCCTTGCACTTCCGCGGACTCTCAAGGAGAACTTGAAGTTCCTTGGTCTGACATTTCATTCGCAGGACAGCAAAGTTCTCGAAAGCTCCGGGCGCTTCCCAGGCCAGGAAGCCCCAGCCAGCGAGCCGGGCCCTCGCCTGACCTACAGGTTCGCTACCGCAGAGCGCCCTCGCCCCACTGTTCCTCCCTTCCCCGAGAGCAGGAACCCTCTGCTGAAATTTAACTGGCCGCCGGCTTTTCATAATGCGCACCACCCCCAAAGCAAAGAAAAAGAAAAAAAAAAAAAAAAGAAGAAGAAGAAGAAGCAAACAAAGCAGAGCACAGCGAAGAAAAGAAAACCGGCCCGTGTCCAAGGTCATCTGATTCCTGGAGGGTAAAAGGCAAACAAACAAATTTACATATTAGAGGTTTGTTAATGCATTTCTATTCTCTCCACACTCCTAAATCAGCTAAGGCAGGGTTTTCCAAACTGTAGGTTGAGCCCGGATTTAGGGACTGTGACCAGAATTATTTTTTAATAAGATGGAAAAGAATAAAATAGTACAGAAAATACTGCCAAGAAGAAAGAGTAGTGTTTCATGAATCCTTTGTCTCCTATATATTCAAGGTACATTGAAACGTTATTTCTATTTCAAAAAGTTAAAAGCAGGATGGTAAATCTTGTTCTAAGAACATTGGAAGAATTGGTTATTTACAAACAGCCAGAGGGAGAAAGGCCATTTTAGGTTCAAAGGGGCAACAATTAGAGGGTCAGTTAATGTGGCCTAGGTGTGGATTTATGTTTGTATTTATCCCATTTGGGGCCATAGGGTTTCTTAAATCTGTGACTGAAAATCTTTCATCAGTTTGGGAGTTTTTCAGACATCTGTTCAAACATTTCTTCAATCCCATTCCTTTTTCTCCACCCCCCTTCTAAAACTTCAGATTATACCTATGCTAGGCCTTCTGACCGATCCTTCCTGTCTCTTACCCTCTCTCCTGCATTTTTTTAACTTTTGTTTTTTTAGGCAGGCCCCACGCCCAGGGTGGAGCCCAAGTGGGGCTTGAACTCAGGACCCTGAGATCAAGAACTGAGCTGAGATGAAGAGTTGGTCGCTTAATCGACTGAGCCATCCAGGTGCCCCTCTTCTGCATTTTTTAAAAATTATCTTGTCTCTTCTAGCTCCTTAATCCTCAATTCAGCTGTGTCTAAACTGCTGTTAAATCTGTCCATTGAATTCTTAATTTCAGCTATTGTATTTTTCAGTTTTTAATTTTGAATAGTTTTTTTAAAATCTATGTCCTTTTTTATATTTCTAGTTTTATGTCAGAATTCTTAGTTTTGTCTTTTATTATTCCCTTATATTTTGTAAACATAGTTGTTTTAAGAATTATGACTAATAACTCCAATATCTGGGTTCTACATGGAACAGTTTCTATTGTCCATTGTTTCTAGTGGTTTTTGTTCATGTTGCGGTATTTCTTCCTGGGCCTGGTTACTTTTGATTGTGTGCCAGAAAAATGCATTGTTTAAGTTTCTGGTGGAGCTCATTAAGGTTTAGGATGATTTCATTTTCCTCAGACAAGATTTACTTTTGTTTCTGACAGTTGCCTGAAGGCACAAACAACCCAGGATGAGCCTAATTCAGTTTCAGGAGTGAGATTCTTTGAAGCCAAGCTGCAATCCTAGTCAGTCCTTAACCCTTTGGGATCCCTACCTAAAGTTGGGTATAAGAGATCATGGATTCCAACGTTTCTTCACCCAGCTCTGTGAGGCTAAACCACTCAGCTTCCTCTAATGAAAATGTGGGGGTGCCTGGGTGGCTCAGTCAGTTAAGCATCTGCCTTTGGCTCAGGTTGTGATCCCAGAGTCCTGGGATCGAATCCCGCATTGGGCTCCCTACTCAATGGGGAGTCTCCTTTTCCCCCGCTGCTCGTGATCTCTCTTTCTCTCTCTCTCTCCCCCCCGATAAATAAATAAAATATTTAAAAGAAAAAAAAAGTTTAAGAAAAGAAAATGGGAAATACCACTAATAGGAAAGTGGTACCTAATGCCTAACTTACTCTGGGTTTCCATCTTCTGGTTCTATTGTCTTATTACCTTGCGTGTTCGCTGATGCTGATGCTTCAAGTAAATGCTTGACATATTTGTAGTCATATAGCTTTTCTAGCTATCCTTAGAAGAAAGTCCAGTATTAACAGAAGTAGAAATCTGATGTATGCTTTTATCTTTATTCGTCCCCCCCACCCACCGGATTCATTTTCTTGCTATTTTCTATTTTTTAACCTTTTTAAAAAACTGACTGCTTAGTAAAATTTTCTGATTTCCCGATAAATGCTTTTAATGCTATACACTTTCACATGTTACTGTGTTGGCCATTCCAACAAGATTCACTAAACATTCTCCCTTAATGTCATTCATGTCCCAATAGTTTGTAATTTCCATTTTGATTTTCTTTTTAATCTAAGAGTCATACAGAAAGGTGATTTTATTTTCTTGCAAATAGTTGCGGTTTTGTTTTTTGTTTTGAAAGGTTCCATTCTTTTGTTATTAAATTATAGTTATTACATTGTGGTCAGATTGTATATGGTCTTTTTAGAATTATCAAAATGTTTTTATAGTCTCATAATTGTTTCTTTTTCTGAACATTCCATGTGTCTTTTTTAAATATGTATTCTCTGTTTATTAACTTGATTTTGTTATTTAGATCCTCTATAACCTTACTTACTTTTGTCTACTTGATTTGTTAACTTCTGAGAGATACATTTTAGTATCCCCAAAATATTATGTATTTGTGGATTCATCAAATTTTCTTGCATTTCAGGACAGCTGGGTGGCTCAGTCAGTTAAGCATCTGCCTTTGGCTCAGGTCATGATCCCAGGGTCCTGGGATCAAGTTCTGCATCGGGCTCCTTGCTCAGCGGGAAGCCTGCTTCTCCCTCTGCCTGCTGCTCCCCCTGCTTGTGCTCTCTCTCTCTTACAAATAAATAAAATCTTAAAAAAAAAAGCTGTATTAAAAAAAATTTTTTTCTTGTATTTCCAACAGTTTTTGTTTTATATTTTGAAATCTGTTGTTAGATTCATAAAGATTCATGACTATTATATATTCTTGATGAATAGCACCTCTCATAAATCTGAAATATTAAATTGCTTTGGTTTTAATATTGTTACTCCTACTTTATTTTTTATTCATGTGTTTGATATATCTTTATTCATCCCTCTATTTCCAGTTATTTTGATTTAGAAGTATCTCTCTTAAATACCATGTAGCTGGATTTTTTCTTACCCAGCAAGCGAATCTTTAAATAGCAAAAATTATTTTTATAATTTGAATGAACGCTTAAAACTAAATACATGAAATTGAATAAAATTAAGACATAATAAATGGATACCTTAGAGGAAATATAAATGGCCTTAAACATATACAAAAATATTCAACTTCACTTGCAATGAAAGAAAGACAAATCAAAACTACGTAAGAGACCATTTTTCACCTATGAGGTTGGCAAAGATCAAAAGCTTGATATCATTATGTAGTTGAAGGTATAGGGAAACAAACCCTTAATCATGGTTCAAAGGAATACAAATTACTAAAGAGCATTCACAATTTAAATTGCACTTGGGGGGCGCCTGGGTGGCTCAGTCGTTAAGCGTCTGCCTTCAGCTCAGGTCATGATCCCAGGGTCCTGGGATCGAGCCCTGCATGGGGCTCCCTGCTCAGCGGGAAGCCTGCTTCTCCCTCTGCCTGTCATTCCCCCGGCTTGTGCTTACTCTCTCTCTCTCTGACAAATAAATAAATAAATAAAACCTTAAAAAAAAGAAAGAAAGAAAATGGAAATACAGCATCCTAAACCTTGAAAGAGGAGGGGGTGCCTGGGAAAAGGAGGCTGGGGCCTCCGACATCCCTGTGAAGAGTTACAAGCTGATTGCCCAGGCCCTGTGGAGATTCCCGAGCAGGGGAACCAAACATGCTTTAAGGGACACGGACAGGGCAGTGGTGCATGCATAAATTATAGGGGCAGACTGTGCAGCACGGGAGACTGAGCAGGAGGGGGCGCCCGGTCACCCTTCCTTCCCACAGTCCCCATGGGGCTGCTCATGCTGCCGGCTGAGCCACAGCCAAGCAAGGAGGCTGACCTGGCGCTGGAGCTGCCGGAGCTGGACATGACATCCTCGAACAAAGCCCGCCAGGTTCAGAAGGTCACAGATCATCTGGCCTTTGATCTGGCCTTTGATGCTGATGTCCAGTGGAGAATGGGAATGCAGGCTTCAGGGAAAGGACGGAAAGAGTGGAAAAAGCCAGAATTTATGGGATACAGCAAAAGCAATTCTAAGAGAGAAGTTCATGGTGATAGATGCCTACATCAAGAAACAAGAAAGATCTCAAATAAACAACCTAACTTTACACCTCGAGGAACTAGAAAAAGAACAACAAACTAACCCCAAAGTTAGTAGAAGGAAGAAAATAACAAAGATCAGGATGGAAATAAATAAAATAGAGACTAAAAAGACAATAGAAAATATCAATGAAAACCATCTGCCTCACAAATGGGCAGAAGATCCGAGTAGACATTTTTCCAAAGAAGACATACAGGTGGCCAACTGGTACATGAAAAGACCCTCAACATCACTCATCATCAGGGAAATGCAAATCAAAACCACAATGAGATAGCATCCCACACCTGTTGGAATGAACCTCAAAAGGACAAGAGATGACAAGTGTTGGCAAGGACGTGGAGAAAAGGGAACCGTCGCGCCCCATTGGTGGGAATGCAAACTGGTACAGCCCTTGTGGAAGAGTATGGAGGTTCCTCAAAAAATCAAAAATAGAACTACCCTGTAATCCAGCAATTTCACTCTGGGTATTTATCTAAAGAAAACAGAAAATACTAACCCAAAAGATCTATGCACCCCATGTTCATGGCAGTATTATTTACAAGAGCCAAGACCCAGAAGTGATCTATGTGTCCGTTGATGGATGAATTGATACAGAAATTGTGGTATATATACAATGCAGTATTATTCAGCCACACAAGAGAAGGTCATCTTTTTTTTTTTTTTTAAAGATTTTATTTATTTATTTGACAGAGAGAGACACAGCGAGAGAGGGAACACAAGCAGGGGGAGTGGGAGAGGG